ATTGATAATTTCAATTGTAAATGATTCACAATTAGCGTCATTGACACTGAGGTTTAGTGATTTTTTTAAAACCAAAAGAATAGGGGAACCTGTTGTACCTTTGACCAATTTTTGCTCTAAGGCGTTTTTGCGTAGTCTATTGAGTTAACTTAAACCATTCAAACTATATAATATTCTCTCATATTTTGCCCAAAAATTATACTTAGGACTTTTTTTTCATTCGTCCAAGAAGTATCTTTTTCCCGTGTTTAAAAAAAATAAGTCTATTGGTCAAAGATACAACACATACGTTGTACCTTTGACCGATGCGCATTGTTCCTTTGACCAAAACGTTATTATTAAAAAATCATGCAATGTTTGAACCTTTTCAATATTTTAGCTTGTTATATGTTATATAGCAACTTCTGGCCTACCTTATATCAATAAAAAAACAAATCTTATTATTTTGTAATCAATCCTATTCGTCAAAAAAAATTAGAAAAATCAATCCTTATAACCTTGCAAAAACTTGTGTATCAAAGTTACGATACTCAGTTAGTATTACTAATAGTATTACTAATTTTTTAAATTAAAATCAGTTATTATAACTATTTAGATAAAAACACATATTTTCTTGAGTTAGATGCTTTAGATAGATTGGTCAAATGTACAACGTCATAGTCTGGTCAAAGGTATACGAGATAAGTTTCTTTAACAATTATTGTCTTAATCCCCATTTACGGTTAGACATAATCATCCAAACTTTTCCATAATAAAAAAATGATGTTGGGTAATGTTTATAATGTCATAGATAAATCAAACAACAATTTATCACAGTTTTAAAATCAGAATAAGATTAACAAAAAAATTTACTTTTTAAGAGCTAAAACTTATAATTACTTGTGGATCAATACCATCTATCCCAAGTATGATGTTTTACGGTAAGAAGAGTCTTCATGGACTATTATTTCAAATGGCACTTCACGTTTTTTTAAAATAATAATAGTAAGTCAACAGAGTAGAGTGACCAAAAACAACGTGGTCAAAGGTACAATAGGTTCCTCTACATACAATAAGAAGACAAAAAAAAAATAAAAACATACGCCCCACCATTGTCGTTTTTTATCAGTTGGTGTAATGAAAGCTGGTAAAAAAAAATTAGAGTTTAACTCTTTGTCATTTTGACATCAAGTTTACTCTAAAATTATGAAAAATTTGACAGAGTACACAATTATAATGATATGAACATTGAACTAACAAAAATATCTGACTGGTTTAAGTCAAATAAACTTTCATTCAACATTAATAAAATTAAATGGATTTTCTTTCATCCACGATTTAAAAAACATTTACTTCCAAGTAATATGCCTCTTCTTCATATTGATAATATTCAAATAAAAAGAGTAATTTTCACAAATCTAATTTCCCTATCAAATATAAGTGCAAGCAAATCTTTTACATATCATTGTAGATGAAAATTTATCATGGAAGAATCACATCGGACATTTATGCAACAAAATTGCAAAAAGCATTGGAGTTTTATATAAAGCAAGAAGCGTTTTAAACAAACATTCATTAACACAACTATATTACTCTTTTATATACTGTCAAATTAATTATGCTAATATTGCATGGGGTAGTTGAACATTATGGTATTACCGGTAATGTTTTAAAACTACAAAAAAGCTATTTAAAATATCGCAAACAATTTGTCTATGTCGACGGATCTTCTTCACAAGATTATCTAAATATAGATTATCTAAATATAACCAGTGGAGTTCCACAGGGATCTGATCCTTTTTTAAACAGTATTTCATGGTCAAATGTGTCAAAAGCTTTAGATAAGTCTATAAAGACGCCTGAAGTAAACTCTGACTTTTCGAATGAATCAGTTATACTACGAGTAAGATGATTTATTGCATGTTCAGTAGAGTTATTTCTTTTAAAACCGTATTGATTTATGTAAAGTATATTATTAACAGCAAGATGATTAGATATTTGGTTGAACATAATTTTTTCTAAAACTTTTGAAAAAAACAGAGAGGATAGATATTGGTCGATAATTACTGACATTTGAAGGGTCTCCTTTAAATATTAGGTGTTATTTAGGCTATTTTCAATTGATCTATTGAAAAGCTATCAAACAGTTTACGTCATGGTCAAAGTCATTTGTTAAAAGTATCGTATTTTTTCAAGAAGATATATTAAAAACATTCAAAAATTTTTATATATTAACAACACCAGGCCTGAAAATGTCTTAATCTAGCAAACAACCTAAGAAAAGTCAACGGTGAGAAGATATTATTTACTATTGTTTGTAAAGTATTTCAATTGTATATTTCAATAGTAAATATTATTTACTATTGTTAGTAAAATATTTCAATTGTTATAAGAGACTGGTTAGTGTTTTAGGAAATATTGACCGTTATCTTGCATATTACTTAGTTATTTTTTCATTTTATACCTTTTTTATTTATTTAATTGATTTTTATTTAAAAATGCTTTAAAATTTTAACCGGACCAGATAAAAGACCTGGTATAAAAAGGTCTTATCACTCAGCCCGGTTGATTTAATTGTTGATATAACACGTTAATAAATCTTGAAATATATGCACACATACACTAACAATATTTTTTAGGTTGCCTACTCACATCTGAGTCTATATTTAGCATCTACATGTTGCGTCAATATAATAAAACTATATCATAGGCAATACATATATTTAAAAAAACGTATTACGTCATTATATAATACATCAAATAAGAATTAACATAAGTATTTAAAAGTAAGATTGTAACTGTTTAATATCATGATCAAATAAGTATTTCTTGAATGAAACATTGAGTTGAAGTTTTAGTTTTTATGTTTCTTGTTAAAACCAAGTTGTAAGGTCGTGGTGCTCGACAAGTTATTGAGAAGTCAAAATACTTTAATAAAATTTTTGGTATGACAAAGTTATTGTAAGTGTTTATTAGCATAAAGTTCTTTAACTTAAGCATAAAAGTTTTATGCTCAAGTTAAGTCTACGTTTTTAAAAAATTCTACATTTTAATAAAATGTAGAATTTTAAATATATTTATTACGTAGACTTCACACGTTCCAATTTTCCTTAGTAGAGGTCTGGCACTCGTGTATTTGTTTGCGTTTTTGTTTTTTGTAGATTGCATTTAACTTTGATCAATACGCAGTTGTCCAGATTATGTTATAGTAACTGTTGTAGGACTAAATAAAACAGAATTAAATATTTTTAAACAATTTGTGTTCAGGACGTGTTTAATTTTATACATTTCCTACTATTTTGATGTGATTACTTCAGCTAATATATTAATTAAGAATTATTCTTAAGGGTTAAATTGAGTATTCTCATTGGGGTGCCCATTAGTGAATCAACAAAACAGGAGGAAGGGGAGATGGCTTCAAACTTTTGACAATTGTCAAGAAAAGTTGACCTCAGCAATATTACTTTTTTTATTTTATAAACTTAATTACTTAAAAAAAGGCAAACAAAGGATGTTGTTTTCCATTTTAGTTTAATTTAAGGAGGGAGGTAATTTTGAAAAGTTGTTGAAAAAAGGAGGGAGGAAGTAAAAATTGCCAAAATTATTTTTATTTAATGGACAACCCCTATTAAGCACAATTTTACAGAAAAGTTTAAGGGGAGGTTGTCTTATTTAGATTTATTATATTGGATGATGAGTAGATGTCATTAATTTTTTTGACACTGATTTTACTAAATAAAAAAAATAAGAAGGCTATTAATAGGTTCTTGAAAAAATAATTTTTATCGGTGAGTTTAATAATATCTTTAGTCAAATTCACCTTTAGTCAAATTCACATATAAATTGGTCAACATCATCACTTTTGTAGCTTGTGGGTTATTTTGTTATCTTTTAATATGCGAATATTTTGCGTGACACAGCATCTTTTGAATATTACCGTAACTAGAGAACGACGTTTAACTCATTAGACGTTTAACGCATTGTTTAGAAGCAAAGATATTAAGCGCTATCAATTGTTTTAAATAACAATAACAAACAAACAATAACAGAGGCGTCACAAGAGAATATTTTTATTTTATTTTACTTTAAAACGACGACTGCCTCAAAAATCCAATTAAATTTTTTATTAATATTTCAAGTGATATAATTAATAAATTTTACTAATTTGATTGATAATAATATAAATATTTAATAAGTCATTTATAACTCCTGTATAACTATTTAACAAAACATTTTAAAGATATAAAATATAAAAAATATAGAAACAAAGCTGAGAGACAAAAAAATTTTGAATTCCGTCAAAAACCAGAATTTCGTTCAAATTTAAATCCTTAAGGGATTAGTAAAATCTAATTGTAAAAAGTAATGATTATTAGCATTCTATAGTTTGATCTAATAACCTATAATATGACCTCATCATCGCAGAAAGTTCTTTTACTTTTATAGTATTTATTCTAGCATATCGTGTATTGCATTTTTACAAAAGTACTACTTTGATGTCAAAGTTTTTTTTTACAAACAAGTTTTTATTAAACAAAGCTCACAAATGAACCAAAACATTGTCAAAAACATGAGATATTCTTAATTACATAAAATGCATTTATATTTCCTAAAAGTATGTTTTATACGGTTAATAAAATATTTTCTAAAAGAAGTAAGCATAACAAAAATGTCAGATTAATGTCGGTTTATTTTATTAGATTTTAAAAATAAAAGACGCTAAAAGTTATAACTCTAAATGGATTTCAGATACTGGCTGCGTCTCTGATCTATGACACTAAGTTAAACGTTCATCTATTCAAACGTCGCTGGTTAATTATACAGTTGAAAATTTTAACTTTGGTATTGAAATTTTTTATTTTAATTAGTCTAAAATTTCCATATTCGCGTATGCGTCATTTTACCAAATTGTGGAATCTCTAATAGCGGTTTCCACTTGCAGGAAATGAGTATGCGCATTGCGAATCTTAAATTTTTTGTTTCTTAGTAAAACCAAAAGTTTTTTTGAGTTTGTGTTTAAAACGTCAAAAAACGTACTAATACGTAAATTTCGTATTGACGTGTTTAAAACGGTCAAAAAACGTACAAATACTTTTTTTGTGTTTAAATGGTCATAAAACGTATAAATACGGGTTTTGACCATTTAAACACATCTTGATTGTTAACCGTCTTAAACATGTCTTATGTTTACTGGGGAAAACTTGGATCATGGTAAGATTTTTTTCCCCATTCCTTTCGCCTGTAAGTTAACACCCGACTTAACACCCAGTAATTGGACTGAGTTTCGGCGTATTTCAATAATGGCTAAATTTATATATTTTCTGAACGTCTTAATTTTTGAAAAAAAAATCCACTTGTTCAGTATTTTTTCACTATAATAGCATTTAATGTTAAAATCTTACGTATAATTTTTAGGAGTATTTTGTTTTTTTTTATTTAATTTTTGACTCTAAAATTTTTGCATTGAAAACGTAAGGGCTAGTAAGCATATGTGTTTTTTTTTCAACAGAAAATAAACGTTTAGAAAAAAGAGTCTGAAAGTTTTTGACTAATCCCAACATTTTTAAAGTTGGTTTTCGAATCCATTGGATATTCTGTAAAGTCTAGGCAAATCTCTTTGTAAATATATGAATGTAATAATCATTATTCATATAGCATTGTTTATAGACGGTCATGGCATCCACCATTCATGTATTCTATAGAACATATAATGCTAGATCTACCATCAGAGATAAAATTCAACAATTTAATAATTAAAATTTAAATGAAACTCATTTTTCTTTCCCCAAATTGCAGTCTAGTTATAAAGTCAATAGATATTGGTTTCTTTCAGCTAATGAAGCAAATTTAGAAAGTTATTTTGCACAACCACTTTTAAAAATCTTAAATTGTAAAGCTGAAAATGCTGCCTTAGGTCATAGGAAAGCAATAGAAGTGGCTTCTAAAATAAAACTTTTCTGAAAATAAAATTAAAAAACTTTCTTCAAATATTTTACTCTTAATACCTTTAATGTTGGTAATTAGTTGTAAGGAGATAGTTCCAATGATTGCTTGAAATCTTAAATCAAAAGTGTTAATAAAATTTAAAGCAAGTTAAAAGTTAGTGTTATAAGTAGATCAGGAAAGTTCAATTAGATTAGCCAATTAGATTAGTCATTTAGCCAATTAGATTAGTTCAATTAGATTAGTCAACTAGCTAAATGCACAAATTACAATGTTTTATAAGAAACATGAAAATATTTTTAAAATTTTGTGCTTCAATTGTGCGCGTCTTTGAATTTTTATGAAATATAGTTTTTAGGTAAATATTATGGTCCAATTATTGTTTTTCTATTTTTAGATGTAAGTTCAGTTTTGTTTTATAAAAATAATAAATTTGTGAAGTATTATAGCTATAACCAGGCTTCATGTATAATTATTTTAATGCAAGTAGTATCTTCATACACCATTCCTGGAATTGCAATCAGCAACAGTTTCAGCATTTTAAAAATGTTTAAAGATATATTGTTGCCAAAAGCAAATGCAGGGCAAGGCTTGAACTATGTTAAGCGTTATAAAATAAATAATAAATAGTAAAATAATAATAAATAAACATTTATTTTCAGATAATCAGATGTGTAGATAATTGAACATTCAAAACAAGTTACCTTTACAAAAAGTAATAACTTGTATATATATATAAACTTATTTAAAAGATTTGTAAACAACTGATATTTGTTTTCAGGCCAAAAACCAATGTATAGTACATAGAATGTATAGTACATAGAAACCTCTAGAATTAATAAAAAATATATATTGTTTTTAAAGTGAGGAAAAACCAAGACAGGCAAAAATTACAGAAATTTTTTTTTTGCTGTTTAATGTCACATTTTGAATAAATGTCAACATTATATTTCTCTTTATAAAAACATATTGGTTTTATCACAGTTTACAACTGTTTAATTGTTAACTTAAGTTGACAAGAAGTTTCCAGTGCCTTGCTAATGGATTGGTTTGATTTTGACTTTGCTATTTGATCGGTTTTAATGAATTCACAGATGATTAAATGTAGTTATTACGGAAAATATGAGAAAATTAAATAATTATGTAAATATAATATTATTACATAATTATTCAATTAATTGATGTTTACTTAGCGAATTTATAATCTTATATTTTATTAATTTTTCTTATTGTTTGATGATTTAATCAAATATTTTATGCTTAGTATTAATTATAAATCAATGCATACAATGTAACATCTTCCAGTATTAATCATGTGAATTAGTGTATATTACAAAAAACAAACTAAGCTGTTACAGTGCAATATCTACTGTTATTGCACTTCGCAACTGTTTTACACCAGTTATTATATATATATATATATATATATATATATATATATATATATATATATATATATATATATATATATATATATATATATATATTATGTAACATAAAGATATTCTAATATGTATTTAAATAAATATTTTTTAATATTTTCTAGTTTGTTTTAATATATACATATATATACCAAACCCTCAGTCGATGTAGCAGCACTCCACTGCGAGTCAGGCTATTTGTTAGTCGATGTATGTACTGAAGCCCCCGACAGCAGGCTATTTGACATTAGATGAGTATGACATCATCATGCTCACCTAACTCAGCAGTATAAGATATATATCTATCTATATCTATATATATATATATATATATATATATATATATATATATATATATATATATATATATATATATATATATATATATATATATATATATATATGTATATATATATATATATATATATATATATATATATATATATATATATATATATTAATATTAATATTATGATTTAGTTATTATGGTTAAATATTTTTTTTAGTTATGTTTTGGATTATATTGGAGATCAAAATCTAAGTTTTATATATTTATTATTGTAATAAAAATGTAATATAACTGTAATAAAACTTACAGTTTTTATCACTTTATTTAAAGAATACTAAAATGCAGTTGAAAAGCATTTTAAATTTGAAGCCTTCTGACCACACAGCTGTTATATTTGATGATGGCAACCAATGTGATATAATGTCTTATAAACAATTTCTTTTTGAAGCACAACAAGCCCAAATTGAATTGAAATCTAAAATTACTCTTGAGCCATCAATAATTGGAATTCTATGTCCTCACAGTGTATACACTCCTTTATTGGTGTATATCTGCCTGCTAACAGAAAATCCATTTATAACTTTATCTCTAGATTCTAGTTTATGGATTTCAACACTGAAAAATTGCAATGTTCGATATATTTTTGTTCACAAAAGTATTTTATCACAGATTTCTGGTATGTTAAAAATTTTTATAGAAAAAACTGTTCCTATTTCTTCATTGGGTGGATTATATACTATTTTGGAACTCAAACTAGGTATAAATAATGGCATATCAAATGAATTTACTTATATTGTACAAAGTTCTGGTACCACTGGAACACCTAAAACTATATTTGTACCTGAAAGATGTTTTGTTCCAAATTTAATAGATTTTCAGTAAGTTTAGTTTATTTTAATTTAATGGCTTATTTACCCTTTGAATTCAGTTGACGAAATACCTCAATGATTTTTGTTTTTAAACAGATATTAATTACACTTTTGTTTTTAATTAATAAAAATTCAGGGTGGCTAGCGGTCTTTTAAGACATGGAAAAGTCCTATAGTTTGATAGGTTCTGAAAAAGTCCTTTTAAGAATCCTGGAATTTTTTTCTGAAATAGTTTAATATTTTGTTGTGTTTTTATCTTTTACCAAGTTATTAATTTTGCATAGATTTATACTGAATTTGATTATTCTGTGTTTTCTGTAATGCAAAAAATAAAAGTTTGCTTAATTTAATTGTCAGTATTACTAACATCAACTAATTATTTACTTATTTTTTATTTTTATATTTTTTCAATTATCAACATATTTTATTTTTTCTGGTCGAGAAAAGAATAGTATATCCTTGAAAAACATAAAATTTTCTTTGTGAAGTCCTGGAAATATCATGCAGTTTTGAATTAGCAATTGCTGGCCACCCTGAAATTAGTTTTTTATTTTTATTATATCAATTTGTATATAAAATTTTAATCTTTATTATTATTTAAAGTTTCTAAAATTGCCAAATAATTTGTTTCACTAATATTTAAATATATATTGATTTCAAAATAATGTTGCTTTAGGAATCTTTTTAATATGCAAGAATCTGATGTCATATTTGTTTCTTCTGCGTTAACATTCGATGCTTCAATTGTTCAGATATTTTTGGGATGGTGTTCATTCTCAACATTGCTTGTTGTAACAGATAAACTAAGGAGTCACCCAGAGAAAATTTCTAAGTGTTTGGAAAAGCATGCTGTCACATTTTTACAGGTAAACAATATAAAATTTGGTTTTTAAAACTAGTATTAATTAGCTTGTTTAGCTAAATAAAAAGTTTTTAAACTTTTTATTAAAGCACTTTTTCTGTAATTTTCCATAACTTCTTGGATTCAGGCTGGAATGAAATTCTTTATTCCCTCTTGACAATTCCAAAACAAGCCTCAAATAGAAAGTCAAAATCAAACCAATCCATTAGCAAAGCACTGGAAATCCTTGTCAACTCAAGTTAAAAATTATAAATAAAACCATTTTGGTTTATATTACTAATTTTATATTTAAAATTTTAATTATTAATTTTATAAAAATTTATATAAATAAAAATATTTGTTTTAAAGCAGTAAAAATTAGTTAAAAAGTAAAACAATAGTCTCTGCAAATAAACCTGGTTATTTTACAGTTTCGCTGTAACCATGTTTAGGAGCATGTCTGTGTATGTGTATATCTATGCATGCATGTGTATATATATGTATATATTTGTATATACACAAACTAGCGCGCATACACACACATACACACTTATATATATCAATCTTTGGAATAAGTAAAAATTAGGTTGGTAATAATTTGCCAACCTCAATCTTTTAGAAGTTGGCAAAAAAAGAATTTGATACAAAGGTCTTACCATAAAACATTGTAACAAGATCTGTAATTTTTTGCCAACCTCAGACACTGAGGTCTTAACACTTTTATGATTGTTCTGATATACATATATAGAATATTGAGTATTCTATATATGTATATCTATGCAAATATATATATGTATATATATATATATATATATATATATATATATATATATATATATATATATATATATATATACGCATATGTATGCACATATGCAGACACAGGCCTTGGCAAGATTAAATAAGTGCGAGAGTGGAGAAAAGTTCCCCAAAATCAATTAGATATATGGTTTCAAACAGGGCTGTGGAGTCAGAGTTGCGGAGTTGCGACATTTTTAGCGGAGTCGGAGTTGAAGTCGTTAAACAAAATCGCAACTATGACTCCAATAGTAAAACTTCTTTGTATTGGCCGTGCATGTTCAAAATATTCAATTAACCTTATGTTCATACTAAACCTCAAAGAACGTTTCATAAATTTGTCAAAAAAAAGTTTTTAACTTATCACATAATATTTTTAAAAGTATTCAAAGAATTTTTCAAAAAATTTGCTTTGGAGTCGGAGTCGGAGTTGTACTCAAATAATTTCAACAACTGGAGTCCGAGTCATTTTTTTTTTTTTTACGGCTCCACACCCCTGGTTTCAAAGAAAGATTGGTAAAGTATTTTACCAATCTTTCTTTGAAGATTGAAATAAAGGTTGAAAGTAAGAACTAATCCTAGAAGATGAAGGGTAGATGATTCATCAAGTACATTACTGTTCATAAATATAAGAAGATCTAGACTATTGCAATAACGATTATCTGAAAAAAAGCTGGGAGAGTTTTATCTGAGCTAAAAGGTTGTTGAGAGTGATAGCTTTAGCCTCTCCACATCTATCTAATGCACAATAAAATCTATCAGTTATAACAACAAATCAGCAGTAAAGCAAGAAGTCCGAAATCCGTATTCATGATCAGAAAGTAAATTATTAGATTCAAGATGAGAAGATTAGGTGTTTGTTAATTAAAGACTCAAAAGCCTTGCTTATGATAGGAAGAAGACTAATAGGATGGTAGTTAGACGAGTCAGATTGCTCTCAAGAATTTTTGAAAATAGGGATAATAGATGCCGTTTTCCACCAGGCTGGAAAATAAGGCTCTAGTAAGCACTTGTTGAATAGTTTTGAAAGTATAGATGACAGCTCCAGAGAACATTTCTGCAAGACTATAACTGGTATGTTGTCTGGAACACAAGCTGTAGAAGAGTTTAAGCAGAAAATCACTTTAGATACAGAAGCTGGAGTGATACAAAGGTCAGGCAATAGATTAAACTGTTTGTCAGTTATATCAGGTAGAATGCTACTAGTGGAATCAAAAGGTAATATTGACTAGAAGTTCTTAGCAAACAGTTCATCCGTAACTTTAGGTGAGGCGACAAAATCTTAACCATATAACAGATTTTGAATAACAGATTCACCCTTATTATAGATACTGTTAGAGACTCTTAAAGAAGTCATGTAAGCCTAATTTTTGAGATGAAATACAAGATCATGACCTTGAAAATTGCAGCAGCACAATTAGCGGAAAATCATGGAGAAGAGTGTGGCTTGATTTGGAATTGTCAAGAGGGAATAAATAATTTCATTCCAGTCTGAATCCAAGAAGTTATAGAAAATCACAAAAAAAATTATGGAAAGAGTCAGAGTCTGCTTTTAGGTAATTGTAAGAGGTACAATGTTAAGGGGATTCTGATAATGAAGAAGAATAAGATAATAGTTTTAGAGAGATCAAACTGTGGTGGCAGCTAAGGGTAAATGTGGAGTAACTGAGCACTGACTAGGATCAGAAACAAGATATAAGTTGAGTAGAGAAGATAAATGATTCAGATTGTAAAGCTACGATAAAAGTTGACTGTTTGTGTTAGAGGTTAAGAGAGGCAAAAGTTGTGGGCCTTAATACCTGCACAGTCAGTTTTTGCCTGAGTTATCTCTTTATTTATTAGCCCATCCCATTTTAACCTTTATGAAAAAAAATTAATTCTCGGAGTGTCTCAAAATGTTATCAAAGTATTGTTTTGTTGATAAAATTTTTTTATTTTTTATTTTGGATGGCTATTTATACTTGTGCCACTCTTTTAAGATTAAATTTTTAAATATTTTTTATGTTTTTAAGAGCATTTTTAAAAGATTGACACAAATAGAAATTTACAACCATTATTTATATACTTGCGTCATTACAAGAAATGGAAGGTTTTATATAATTTATTTAAAAAATATAAATAGTATATAAACTATGTAATTCATTACATGATATAAAAATTGTTACATAATAACTTAGTGCATAATCATTTCATATTATATATATGAAAGTTTGAACAAAATAAAAGAAAAAGCAGTTTACACTGTAGGTAGCACAAATATTTTTAACTAGCTGTCCAGACCCATAAAATACGGGTCTTGGTAAATCTATTCCACACCGACCTTTTCTATACTTATTCATTACTTCAATATTTTTTAGTTGGCAGCAGAAAAATAACTCTATTCATTTACAAAATCTATAGTAGCTATTCATTTACAAAATCTATAGTAGTTTCAGTAGCTGTTGCATGAGTTGCTATTTATCAACTAATTACATATTAGTAGCTGTCTAAATAATATTTAGAATACCTGCTTGAAATGTTGTAATTAATTACCATTGGTTTAAAAAATTTAAAAAAAACATGAGATGACTTAATTATTTGGAATAGCGAACTTACCATGACCTGTATACTGGTGATTATAAGTTTATTCCACTCCAACCATTTCAATAATTTTGCTCTATTTCAATAAGTTTTAAAAAAGAACAAAATAAAAAAACATTGTTTTGAGTTAATGATTTATTTTTAATACTTAAAAACTTCTACAAAAATAAAGAACAAAAACAAAGAAGCGAGAAGAGGTTTGATTATTGTTTTCTTTAATAAGTTTCTATTTTTTTTTTTCTCATTGTGTCTCTTGCCCCGTTAATTTTGAAGAAAGTTAAACTTGGCATATAAAATCTTTTTTTATAAGAAAGTTGTCTCTGTTAAACGTGTTCTGCATGTTAAACGCGCAAGCTAATTACTTAAGCACATCAACAACATAAGTTGTTTATCATAAACAATAATAAATTAATTACAGGCACATAAACTTTGTGTGCTTATAATTAGTTTATCTTTATCTCTATCATGACATATTTGCAAAAAAATTTCAATGGTGTTTTCATGTTTTTAAAAAATTTTAAAAGCTTTTTAAAATTCTCTCCCTTTTGTTTCTTATAGTATGTAATGTTTTTATATATGTTATGCATATAATATCCATAGTATTTTAAATTTTTTTTTTTTTTGTTTAAGAAAATTAGAAAAAACTAAAAATAAAAAGTTAAGTTTATAAGCAAAAGGATTTTAAGCCACACAAAGCACTTCAACCACTTTAGCATGCTTTATCATCTTTTAAAACTGTTTGTAAGCCAAAAACTTATTAAACTTTATAAAATATGTATAGCTTATAAATGCTATAAATCAAAATTAAGGAGATATTGCCGAAATGAAATTTTCAAGTAAAAGTAAATCTGTAAAATTTGATATAGTTTACATAACTTAAAGTTTACAGGTTATTTGCATAGGCTTTTGTTCACATTGATAAAATGCATATGCAAAAGAAAAAATACAAACCATTTCAAATAGTGGTTTTAAAAAAATGCCTGATAGCTTTGTAAAAATAAAAAAAAAAAAGTTTTGTTTTCATATTTATTAACAAATTAACAAAGCACAACAATTTTCAATAGGTATCAATTGTATGACTATATTGCACAAACATGTCATCTGATTAATCTAAAAAAATTAATCTAATTAAATAAAGGAAAAAAAACATCAGATTTATTAACTGAAAATCAATAAAATTATTTTTCCTAAAAAACCCTTATTTATCCTAAAAAAGGGCAACTTTAAATAAGGTCAACTTTAACTTCAATAAATTTAACATTCTATGATGATACAATTTCAATAAATCATCTATAAAACAAAACATATTTATATTCGATATATCAGAAACTTATGAAAGTAAAGTAGGAAATACATAAAACTAACGGCGTGTACATCTGTGTATCATATCTACAGCGAGTATTTATACGTCATATCTACAAAGCCTTGTGCCTTATCAGTTAAAAGCGTCCAAGACTTTTCAATATTATTCAGAGTATAATGCTATTTTGATAGTTATCTAAATTCTGTCATTGTTGCGCATTTGTTTTAGAATGGTTAACGGGGGTGTGAAAAAATAGCTGTAAAATTTTAAATTTTCTTATTACTCTAATATTATGTGTTTTTAACTTATTACTTTTAAAAATTATAGTTTTAATATAATGATTTATTTTAAATATAAAGTTAAAATTTTGAATTATGTTCTTGATAAAAATATTTTTTAAACCCCCTTCTTGTTTAAAAAAAGTGAATGTCGCTGCGTGGCAAGTTCAAATCATCAGCTTGCTTTTTTTTTAATATTTGTTATTTAAAATGCAAAACAAAACAACTTTCTTTCTTTCAAAATAAACTTTTTTTCTTCAAAAGCGTTTTACTTTGTATTTTAAAAAAATCAAAAAAGATTAAATTAATAAAAGAAAAAAAAAAAAAAACGATGGTAAGAATCGAACCTGGAACTCCTGCCTCAGAGCAAAGCGTGCTAACCACTCAGTTACGTAGACTTATTGTTAACGTAATATTAAAAGTATATAACATTAAAAACTTTATCAAACGAAGTTAAGTGCTACAAATCAAATTTTAAGATGTTGCTGCAATGCAATTTTTAAGAGAAAGTAAAACTGAAAAACTTGATATATATTTAGTATGATTTTAACTTTACATAATTTGAAGAAAGTTAGATATTTGCATAAGTTAGATATTAACATACACTTTCGTTGATATTTCTTATATAAAAAAGTGCTGCTACTCTTTCTTGCTATTACCTTGGTTGCAATGGCTGCCAAGAGTATCGTGTCAAACAGGCTCGAAAGGGCATTACTACTACTACTACTACTACTACTACTACTACTACTACTACTACTACTACTACTACTACTACTACTACTACTATTACTACTACTATTACTACTACTATTACTACTACTACTACTACTACTACTACTACTACTACTACTACTACTACTACTACTACTACTACTACTACTACTACTACTACTAAGTTCCGTATTATCAAATAAATTATATTAATAGAGAAGAAAAAAAGTGGTTTATGGTTATGAAAAAAGTATACATTTGCAAAAGCCATCAATTGCTCCCCTAAATCACTTTAGGGGAGTGTAGGTAAAGGCTAAAGCTCTTGCTTCCTGTTGAGGCTTGCAGACATACTTTTGCAGAAATCTAATTTCAAATCAAAAAAATCGCATTATTTTTATGATTTTAGTCAGGCAAGGTGTGCAACTGCATGTCTCTCCTGTAAAGGCTTATATATTTTAATATTGATAGAAGAAAGATTATGGCCATAAGATTCAAGAGTCAACTTAGAGAAAAAGTTTTTTCAAATAGTTCTGCTTTATTCTTGGGAAAGGTATTAAGATCAGTCCTATGAGAGATGGAATGTTTGACCTTTGTTAATGACACTGTTAAATATTTAAAAAAAGTCTCTAGAGCCTAACTTCTGATAAAAGATACAAGATTTGATTGAGAATAGTGGAGACAGCACCTTTTTAACTTCTGATATAAGATACAAGATTTGATTGAGAATAGTGGAGGCAGCACCTTTTTAACTTCTGATATAAGATACAAGATTTGATTGAGAATAGTGGAGACAGCACCTTTTTAACTTCTGATATAAGATACAAGATTTGATTGAGAATAGTGGAGACAGCACCTTTTTAACTTCTGATATATGATACAAGATTTGGTAGATTGAGAATAGTAGAGACAGCACCTTTTTATAGCAGACAGCACTTTTTTACATTGATTTCTTGCAATAATAAATAGGTGTTTGTTCTCTAGAGTTTTGTCCTGAAAAAGATGAAAAAATGGTTACGATTAATTATAGCAGCTGCACAAGAAGGTAAGAACCATGGAGTACAATAAGGCTTGAATTGGAACAGACAAGAAAGAATAAAAGCTTCCACGCCTGCCTGGATCCAGGATGTTACATAAGAGGTGCATTTATTAGCAGTGAGAGAAAAGACAGTAGCCCAAGGACTGTCACAAAAAAAAAACACAAAAAGAATCCCAGTCAGCATTAAGGTAGTAGTGAATAGTGCGATGACAGGGTGAGTTCAAAAAAAAGTATGAGATGAAGATTTATTGAGATCATTGTATAGTCAGAACTGCCTAAAGGAGAACAAGGAGAAACACAAAACTACAAAAGCTAGAATCAGAGACAAGGCACAAATCAAGGAATGTAAGTGATTAGAGTAGTCTGGAAAAAGACTCACAAAGTTGAGTAGTCTTATCTGAGTAAGAGATTTAGAAATAAAGAAGTTATGATCTTTAGTGGACAGGGTCAGTGGTGTTAGAACTAAGCCATTTATTGTGATAAGCATCAGTTGTTGAAATTCAACAATAAAGTAAAAGTTGCCAATAAAAACAGTATTGGCAGAGGGGTAAAACATGGTCAGTTTATCTTCAATACAATTCTTATCAGTATCATTGAAACAGTCTTGAAAAGTAATTAAATCATTTACATTTATTGTATTACATTTCATATTTAAACCAAAATTAAAATAAAATTTAAACATAATAAAATAATTTTGTGTGAAAATAAAACATTAACAAGAAAAACAAACAATGGCAAGTAAGAAATACCATAACTGATCAAAGCAGACTATCTGATCTTATCTAAATATAATTTTTATAAAAAACATATTCATATTTCACTTAAATGAGTACAAAAGCATCATGAAAAGTACAGATAAAAAATTTTAAATTATTATTAATATAATCAATTATTACACAATTTTGAATTATAATTATTGAAAAATTTTAAATCAGTAATGTTATTTGTTATGCCATATTAACAATGCTTTTTTTTTGTTTCCGTAAAACAATATGATTAAATAATTAAAAATATATATATATAGTTTATATGATATATATCAAACATACTTCATTAAAAATTGGTAATGTGGTGTTGTGATTAAAACTGGAGGTATAATATTCAAATCCAGCTCTGGTCATATATGCATCATTAGTAAAGGAGGCATGAACTTTCTGATTGAATGCTTTTTTTTTTTTTTAAACATCTTTGCTTCCAACAAGGCTGTAAGCAACTACTAATTAGTGTTAGAAGTTACTGGAAGAGAAAAGATGAAGATTGTAGAGCAAGATAACGATTGACAGACGACTTAAAAGATTGCAAATTATATGAATCAGGAAAGAAATATGAAGGAAAGGAATTCCAAAGAACTTATGTTCAAGGAAAAAAACTAGAGGAATAAGAGTTTTAAGAACATTTAGGAACAGTCACAGAAAAAGTATGAGATTTAATTGAATGACGAGTAACACTATAATGAATTTTAGTAGATGGCACAAGAGACTCTAGCTCTTTAGAGCAGTGCCCATTATAGTATTTATAGAAAAGAGAAAGAGAAGCAACATTACGACGATGTGACAGAGGTTGAAGGTTGGCTGCAAGAGCAGGTCCAACTATGTTTACAATGCGTTTTTGCACCTTGTCTAAAAAAGAAAGAGCATCATTAGAAGATGCGCCCCAGATATGGCAACAGTATTCCATACAAAGCCAGATTTGAGATTTACAGAGAATAGAATCCAGAGTAAGAAAGTGTCGAGCTCGATAAAGAGATGCAGCTTTAGCAGATGCTAATTTTGCAACGGATTTGATATATGGTTTCCAAGAAAGATCAGATGTAAGAGTTATTCCTAGAAGATAAAGGGTAGATGACTCATCGAGTACATTACCGTTCATAAATATAGGAAGTTCTAAATTATTGCGATAATGATTGGCTGAAAAAAATTGAGTTAACGATTGGCTTAAGTAGTGTTCTGTTATAAGACCAACAAAACCTCTGTTATAAGACCTATAAGATTTCTTGGAGCACCTAAATAACTAATAACACAAAGAAAAAATAATAGTTGTTTTTAACTGTATAGTTCATGGTATTCATATAATTTATAAACAATATGATTTATGGTATTCATTTTATAATTTAAAATTAAGGAGAACTAGACAATTTACAGTTATTTATTTCTTTTGCTTTTTTTCACCTGAGAAAGTCACAAATGTACTAGAAATTGTTATTTTTAAAAAACAATTTCTAGTACATTTAAAAGATTAAAAAAAATCTAAAATTGCTTTTTAATGTGACAATTTTGTATGCTAAAACATACTTTGGTTTCATAATCTTCATAAATTTTTTTGCAACAGAAATTTTAGTGTTTCCAAAATTGTTTTTAAACAAAGAAATTTTTTGTTTAATTTTTTTAAATGGTATTTTTCATGTTATTAACAGAAAATAATTCTGTAAAAATATATAAGTTTTTATTAGTGTAGTAATAAATGTTTATGCAGTTTTTCCTGGTAAGAATTTTTGCGATATTTAAGATTATAAGAAATCTAAAATTGTAAAAGCAAAAAAAAAGTCTCATACAGTGGTGTTAAATATTATATTTATTTTTCAGTTCATTTTTTTAAAACCTGGGCAATATTAAAATGTAATATCTCAAAAACTTTTTAGACTAAAAGTTTTTGTGAGAACATTTTTTTTAAAAATACAACAGCCATAAAGGTTTTAAAAATATATGAGGAAATTCGGGTTATTTGATTTTGAATTATATAAGAGTAAACTTTGAGAATTTAAGGCATCAAAAAATGCAACATAAAAAATGAACTAAATTTTAAAGAGTTACTCACGTGAACTACTGGATTAAAAAATGCGACTCCTAAAGGTTATAACTTAAATCTTAAAAAAAAATCTGTACACTTCATTAAACTATAAAAATAACCAATGGCAACCAGAGTTAGTGTCTAGAAATCTTTATTATATTGTTGTTATATGTTACTAATTTTCTTTTTTAGTGTACCCCATCATTTTTGGGATTGATTGGGAGCCATTTTCAAGAAAAGTATTTGTTTTATAATGGCAGCAAATTGAAAATATTGGTTTTGGGTGGGGAGTCTTTTCCATCAAAAGAAAAGTGTGGCAAATGGAAAAAGGCTTTACCTCAGTTGCGTCTTTTTAATTTATATGGAACTAGTGAGGTTTCAGCATGGGCTAGTATATATGAAGTCACCAATGATCAATTTCATACAGAGAGGCAAACTTTAGATTCAGACTGGGTTCCCATAGGAAAACCATTGAGTAAAACTATAATTAAAGTAAACGATTTATACGGAAATGCATTGAAACATGGGCTTGGTAAAATATGGATTGGTAAAATATATAACTTATATATTATTTTTAAACTTATTAATTGTATTGTTATTGTTTTTGTTTTCTCATCATTTAATATACTTATGTTAATTTAATTTGTTAAATAAAGTAAATTATCAGTAAAATAAAACAAATAAAATTTTTAGCTTGAATTTTTTATTTATGCTTCTGGTTTTTATTTTGTGTAGGGAGTGAAGAAAGAGTTTGTAGAATAACAGAATCAGAAGAGCCAGCTTTTGACAGCTGTATCATGAGAGCAACGGGTGATTTAGGTTTTATAGAGGGAGAACAGATATATTATAGTGGAAGGTATGATGACCAAATAAAACGTAATGGATTATTTATATCCACAATCCATATTAACAATATAGTAAGAGATATTCCAGGAGTAAAGGATTGCTTCTCAACTGTTGATAAAGAAATTAATAATATTTTGATAGTATATTATGTTCCTGAAAACGACATTAAAGTCAATATTTTTGAGTTTATGTTAACAAGATATCCTTCACAATATATTCCTGACAAAATTGCATCAGTGGATTGCTTTCCTTTAACAATGCATGGTAAAATTGATAAAAATGCATTGAGAAAAAAGTTAAAAAATGTTTCTAACTGGAATTTAAATGACATAATAAGGAATATCACAAAGTCTTGGAATGAAGCTTTAAAAATTAGTCCAGGAGACTCAGTATCTGCAGAAATTGAGTTTTCTATATTAGGCGGAAATTCCTTTATTGCAGCATATCTTGTTAATAAATTTTTAGACTTTTTTCCTTATCAAATTAATTTTGAAGAAATATTTATTAAAATTTTAACAAGTTCATTAAATCAATTTATTCATTTCATTTCCTCGTATGTTCATGTTGATGTTAAAAATAATATTGAAGATAAGGCAAGCTATATTGTAAAGTTTGATGGAGAGAGATGTAAATGTTTTGATAAAGACAAATGTTTTTGTAATAAATTAGTAAAGTGCAACTGTTTTACTTCTTTTTTAAAAGCACATACTATCCAAACTTGTATGTGTCCAAAAAAATATTTAGGGTTTCAAAATAATAATTTTTTAACTTCAAAATTTAACATATCATTGAGTTTAGAGTGGAAATTTGATACACAAAAGTGCGTTGATGCCTCTCCACTTTTGGTATTTTATGACAACTCATCTGATGGAATTGTTTACATTGGATCTCACTCTTATATCTTTGTGGCTTTGAACTTAAAAAATGGAAAACTATTATGGAGGCAAATTTTAGGGGGTCGCATAGAATCTTCTGCCATAGTTTCTCCTGATGGAAAGTTTATATGTGTTGGTTTGTTTTTTTTGTAGTTTTTATTCCTTATTATTTTTTTTACCTTATTATCATTGTTATTATTACTGTTGTTGTTAATTATCTTATTTACATTAATTTTGTTATAAATGGTTTGAGACAAGTTTTTTAATTTTAAGAGTTTTTTTAAGGCTGTTATGACGGTTTTATTTATGCACTTCATTATGGAACAGGAGAAATCTACTATAAGTTTAAGACTAATGATATTGTTAAATGTACACCTGCTCCATCTAAAAAACATAGGCTGATTATTGTTGGTTCTTATGATAAACATATTTATGCGCTTGATGTTGCTCAGAAAGTATGCAAATGGAAGATAAAATTTAATAGTTCATGTTTTGCTTCACCTTTGATTATAGACGAGCAGAATATTGTTATTGTAGCATTATTATCAGGTTCTTTGTGTTCAATTAATGCAGAAACTGGTGAAAAAATTTGGGAAATAAATTTTAATGATAAACCTTTATTTTCATCACCAACTTTATGTAGAAATCTTATTTTAATTGGTTGCGTTGATGGCAATTTATATGCTATTGATTTAAATGGTAAAAAATTGTGGAACTTCACTACAAAAGCTCCAATATTTTCATCTCCTTTGATTATATATGAACGAGAAGCATTGATTTTTATTGGAAGCAATGATCAGATCATTTATTGCTTAAATGAACAAGGGTTTCTACTATGGAAATACAAAACAAGCTCTTCAATATTCTCTAGCCCATCTGTTTTACATGTTAGCTCTTTAGAAAATAACATGCTGCAATTTGAGATAAGTGTTGTCATCCTTGTATCAAGCACCGATGGTCATGTTTGTGCATTAAAGTTTGAATATTATCCTCAATATGAACTTCAATCTAAATTTTCTATTGAACATGCTGCAAAAATAAAAAGTAAAGATACAGTAAATGAAAAATTACCTATAGATAGTACTGAAAGATTATTTGTAAGTGATACGTCGGTGATTGAGGTATCGTGCATTGGTGCATATAAGTTTCCTGCTGAGATATACTCTTCACCCATTGTGTGCAACAATAAAATCATTGTTGGATGTCGTGACAACAATGTTTATTGTATGAATATTGAATTATAGTAAAGTTTTGTTTTGATTTATCTTTATGTAAGTTTATAGTATCTGCATTTAAGTTTCTTATGTATATAAAAGTGAAATCTATTCTAACTTGTCAAAAAAATTAGTTATTTTACAGATATAATGCTATTTTTAAATCAATATGCATTTCAGTTTTTTTTTTTACAATTTATTAAAAACAGTCATATCATAGCACAACAGGTTATTGTTTTTTTGTTGTTAATTTTTATTTCAATTTTTATATTGATGATGTATTCAAAAAAAACAAATTTCTTTCAATTATTTTTATAATTTTTATTATGATATAATCTAGATAATTTTAAATATGAAATTAATAACAATGACGTTTTTGCGTAAGGATTTTCTCAGTGTATTTGGATTGGTTTATCCTTTGAAAAAACTGTCTGTGTTATCCTACTTGCAATGTACTATACGTTTAATTGATGAGACAGGGAAAAGTACTCTGGTTCTAAAAAATGAAGCTGAAAAAATTGCTAATGAAAGAAAAATGGATTTAAAGCAAGTCGGTTTTGTTTCTGAGAAATTATCGCATGCAGTTTACAAATTGGTACCTGATGTTCCAAAATCAATTTCGCCTTCAACTCAAACTCAACACTCTTTTAACAATGTAAAAATTAAAGAATTAACAATGACATGTCTAATTGAAGATCATGATCTAAAGGTCAAGTCCAAAAAGCTACAGGAATTTCTTGATAAAGGGTACCATGTTACAGTTACAGTTGCAAAGCCTGTCAAAGCAAACTTGTTACCAAAAACTATTTTTGATAAGTTGATTTTATTTTTAAATTGTTCTGTAGAATGTTCGTCTACCAAAGTTAACGAAAACATGTATAAAAGTACAGTTGCAAAAAGTGAAAAAAACTTTTAATGATGTACTAAATAACAGCGCTATTCTTCTTAAATATAATTTTCAAAGCAAATGCAAAAAAAGAAAGGAAAGATAGAGACTCTAAAATTTAGAATTAATATTTCATATTTTTACTTTATTGAAATGGTAACTATTTTTTAAATACATTTATTTAAGCATATTATGTAATATGCTTTATTTTTACTTCCTTTTTTTATGTTAAATAATTGGTCTCTACTCCAATATCTGTAATTCTTTACCATTTGGAACAAATTAAATTTTTACTGAATAAATTTATATATATATATATATATATATATATATATATATATATATATATATATATATATATATATATATATATATATATATATATATATATATATATATATATATATATATATATATGTATGTATATGTTCTTCTTTTTTTTTTTTATTTTATTTTTTTGTTTTCTACTATTAAATTAAAGTTTAATAGCTTTTTATTGTGAATAAAGTTGACACTTTAATCACAATGATCTTAAAATATTAACCACTGCCATAAAAATTCTAACATAGCCCATTGATTTCATTGTGTGATCTGTTACTTCCATGCTGTTTATATTTCCAATTAAATTCTTCATGTTTAAATTTTTAATAGAAATTTTTGATAAAAAAGCTTACAATCATTAAAGTTGAATCTTTGTTGAATGCTTTCAACCTCTTTGTCAATTATCTTGAAATCTTAAATGTCATTGAAATGCTAAAAATCATTGACTGTTATCAGCAGGTGATAACAGATAGAATTGACACCATATTCATGTCCATCTGTTTTACATTTAATTCTTTAGAACATAATGTTGAAATTCGAGATAAGTGTCCACTTCATATCCAGTGTTTCAATTGTTGGCTGTTTATAGTTAGACAGGATGTTTAAAATCCTGCAAATGTTAGTTAGTTAGTAGTTAAACTGTAACTGGACAAATCCAGCGAGTGTGGTTTATCACACTTTGACAGCATTAATCCAAATATATATTCAAAAATGTTTAGTTAAAATTTCTGTGATTTGGCATTATTTTTATCTCTTCTTAAATTGATTGACAGTTTTTTAAGTAACAACAGTTTCCAATAAAGCGTTCCATAAATTGGCTGTACGATTTAATAAAAAATGGTGCCGAGATAAATAGTTCACAGTTTCTCTTTCATATTTAAGATTGTGACCTCGAGTAATTGAATCAATTTTAAGCTTTGGTTCATTAAATCATTTTCCTCGAATCTGTTTAGTTATTTAAACACTTGTATTAAATCCCCACATTCCCTCCTTGTTTTCAATGTAGATATATCTAATATTTCCAATCTCTTTTCATAATTAATTTTCCTTAATGATGGAACTAATCTAGTCATCCTGTGTTGAACTTTTTCCAAAAGTGATATGTCTCCTTTAAAATAAGGTGACCAAACAGGTACTGCAAACTCAATAAGAAATCTAATAAATAGTTTATACAATGTTTTAATCAATTTTGCATCAATTCGTGAAAATGTCATCTTTAACATACCCATCATTGAATTTGCTTTAGAAGTACTTGATACAATTTGTTTTTTTCCATTTCAAGTTTGTTGAAAAATATACACCTAAATCTCTCTTGCATTCAGAGTCTTTCAGTTCAATACCATTTAAAGTATATTTCAATCGCGGATTATTTATACCATAATGCATTATAACACATTTACTAGAATTAAAACCCAAGAGCCACTTTTTAGACCATTCCTCTGCACTATCCGAATCTTTTATATTATAATCAAATATTATAATCTATTTTTTACTTATAATCTCTGCTCCAAGAATGTTGCCATAGAACTTTTTCAAACTGTTCAAACAAATTTTTTGAAAATGTGGTGTTGACAAGCGTGGTGAAAAAGTGTGCAGCAAATAAAGTTTGATTAGTTTACCAACAATATTGTAAATTTTACTGTTGCTATAGTATCTGCAATATATAAATAACTACAATGCTATTCATTAGGTCCTAATGTGTGTGTGTATATATATATATATATATATATATATATATATATATATATATATATATATATATATATATATATATATATATATATATATATAACTGCAATGTTATTCATTAGGTCCCAAAGTTCTAAGATTAAATTTGGTTCCAGCTGTGTTCTATCCTTCAAATCAGTGAGAGTGGGAAAAATAAATTTCATTTGGTTTTCTAACTCACTCAGTGAACCAGAACTGTCTTCATTGGGCACAAGAAGAACTAGTTGTTCATAAGAAATCAAAAAGAAAAAAATGTTTTTTTAATTATATCATGCCAATGAAAGCATGAAATAAATGATTTTCACCATTATTTTGACTGTTCAGCATTATCATTATTTTGAGATGTTGATATATCAGGTTGCAAGCTGTCAAGGTGCAACCACTAGCTGAAACAATTGTTTGATTGTATGGTGATTCATCTTGAATTCTTTTTTGAAGTTGAAGAGTTTGTTTGCCTATGGAAAAATCATAGTTATTTTTGAATTCAATATTGGCATGATCTGATATTTCTTCAACTGTCAATTTATTTTGCTACTCATTTGTTTTCAATATTTTTTATATATTTTGATTGGTTTGATTTTTTGTATAAAAATTACAGTCTGAATTCTTTTTTTTTTTTTTTTTTTCTTTCTTAATGAGTGGAGATATATTTTAGTCTGATTTCATGTATTTTCGTTGTGTGTATTTTTTTGTGCGTATTATATATATATATATATATATATATATATATATATATATATATATATATATATATATATATATATATATATATATATATATATATATATGTATCATGTGTATCAATATATATATATCAATATATGTAACAAAAAATTTATATTTTTAGCAATATTGTATCAAGTTGCTTGTATTTTTTCTTTATATTTGTCACAATGAATAGTTAAATTTTAAATACTATTAATTGTAATATAGGTAATGGTTATTTAATAATATTAACAAATGTTTAATATATATATTTGCATAGTTTTTTTTAATAAGTATTTTCACATTTTTGTTTAGCTTTAATTTTCATTATAGGTTAATTTTAAAATTTTTTATATAGGTAATGAATATATTTGCATATATTTTTTATTTTTCATATTCACATTTTTGTTTAGCTTTTACTAAAATGTTTTGGTGTTTGTTTTTGTTTTTGTTTTTTGCATCTGCCATGGACAATACTGATGACTCAAAAAAAGTAAATTTTTTTTTCTTTAATTTTTTTTTTGTCTTAAAATAAATTTTCTTTTTTAGTTTTTGATACATAAATTATTTTTAGTTTCAGTTTCAGTTTAAATATCAACACAACAGATTTGATTTTTATTAGAAAGTCAATTTTTCATTTATAATGGCTTAAAACTTGTTAATTTGTTCACCAATATCAAATAATATTGATATATTAGGGGAATATTTTTGCACTATATATTCTATATTTTGCACTATATTGTTTTATTTTGCATTATATTTTACTATATTACACTATTATGATATTCGTCTACTTTAATTTTTTTTTACTAGGAGCTCAGTTTCCATTACTGACAAAAAAAAATTACTGGGCTAATGGATAATTTTAAATTTACCCAGGTATTACCTGAATGATTTTATCAATTACTTTTTTTCAACATAAGCAACCAAGATGAGGGTGTGAATTTAGTTAACTCAGATAAAAAAGCAACAAGTTTTTAACAGAATAAAAAATAAAAGTTTTATAACGTTTTTTTTCAAATTTTATTTTTCTATTAGGTTTTTTGTGGAACTGTAATTTGCTCTCTCTCTCTCTCTCTCTCTCTCTCTATATATATATATATATATATATATATATATATATATATATATATATATATATAATATATATATATATATATATATATATATATATATATATATATATATATATATATATATATATATATATATATATATATACATATATATTTACATATATATACATATATATTTATATATATATATATATATATATATATATATATATATATATATATATATACATATTTATATATATATATATACATATATATATATATATATATACATATATATATATATATATATATATATATATATATATATATATATATATATGTATATATATATATATATATATATATATATATATATATTTACTTAAGTTGACCAGGACTGTTAAAAATGTTTTGAAAATTTGTATAGTTTTAAAACTTCAACTGAAATAAATAATAAACTATAATAAGATTATCTAAATTATGTTTGGAATAAATAACTTTGAATCGTTTATCTTTATTAATGTTTTTATAATATAATTTTATGCGAAACCCTTTTTAAATAAAGTGACAACTTACAACTGACGATTGTTTAATAAACGCACACATTTAAAAGTTTAAAAGATGTTCTTAACCACTCTTCGCACAAAAGAAAAAATAATTAAATCCTTCATTTAAAAAATTGATATGATTTTTTTTTTTTAATTTAAAAACATTTACAATAAAAAATAAATACTTATATAAATATAAAAAAATATATATATTATTCAATGTTTTTATAAAAAATCATTAGAATTGATTTGTTTCTTTATATAAATGTGCTACTTCAATGCGTTATAAAAAAAAAGTAAAGACCAAAGTTAATTCAAACGGCTTTCAAAAAAGTTTGTCTTTTTTTTTCTTCTCAACAAAAACTTAAATGATTCTTATATAAAATTTATTCAAGGGACCTTCGCTATTTAAAGTCGTCGCTTATAAAATTTGATTTTTTTTTTTAATTTTTACTTTTTTTATTTTTACTTATAAAAAAATCTTATATAATTAAATGATATAAATAAAAAAATATACAACTTTCAATGATACTTTAATTTAAAAGCGTTTTGCTAATATAAAAACATTAGTAAAGATAAAAGTGTTGAAGTAATTTATTTTCAATGTAATTAAAAACCAATTTTTTCAGTGCATTAGTTAAAAAATCATCAAAACAAAAATATTATTTGCGTGGTCATATGAAATCGCACACCTTCCTGGTAAAGCCTATATAAATAAACATATATATATATATATATATATATATATATATATATATATATATATATATATATATATATATATATATATATATATATATATATATATATATATATATATATTAGTGATGTACCGATATCACTTTTTTGGCTGATGCCGATACCGATGCCGATGAATGGGAAAAAACCGATACCGATGCCGATACCGATGAATTAACTAATTATTAAAAATTTGAAAGTATAAAACCATACAACTTTAAATTGGTATTGGTAAACAAATACTTGGACTCAAATCAAAGCCAAATAATTATTTTTAAAAGATATTAGAAAAACTCAGTTAAAAAAATATACATTTTAATTTTTTTCTACTATAAAAAAAAAACCTTCAAAAAAATAAATACAATTTTAGAGGAACACTTTTTATTTTAATTTAAAAAAAAGAAAATATGCATATACAGTTTACTAAGAATTCTTTATTAATTTATTAGATATCTAAACAACAATCATATGTTGTTTAGACATAAATTATTTTTAGATAAAGAAATTGTTTTTAGAATTATTTTAATTTTTAATGTTGGATCCCCACCACCAAGTTAACCTAATGTTAGACATTTGAATCATTTCAGCTTCCATTACTCATAGTCATATCTCTATTAAACTCTTCTATGGCTTGTGGTCCAGACAACATTCCTGTCACAGTCTTACAAAATTGTTCTCCAGAACTCTTTAATTTTCTTTAAACTATTTAATAAGTGCTTGACTGAATCTTGTTTTCCTGCCTGCTGGAAAATGGCAACTGTTGTTCTAATTTTTAAACACTCTGGTAAACTTACTGACCCCTCCGATTATTGTCCAATCAGTCTTCTTTCTGTTATTAGCAAGGTCTTAGAGTCTTTGATAAACAAATTTTTCACGTTCCATCTCGAGTCAAATAACTTACTGTCAGACAAATAACTATTGTAGTACTGTTGACATTCCTCTATTGATGAATGGCAACCCTCTCACTGATTCCACTTCTTTACGTCTTCTTGGATTATCATTTACTACTGACTTTTCACGGAAATCATATATACAATCAATTGCTAAATTAGCATCTGCTAAGGTTGCTTCTTTTTATCATGCTCACCATTTTCTCTCTCCTGATTCCATGCCCTACCTCTACAAATTTCTTATTTGTCCCTGTATGGAATACTGTTATCATATTTGGGCTGGTTCTTCTAATGATGCTCTTTCTCTTTAAGATAAGGTTTAAAAATGCATTGTAAACAGAGTTGGTTTATCTGCAAAGCTTGAGCCTCTTTGCCATCATCGTAAAGTTGCATCTCTTTCTCTTTTCTACAAATATTATCATGGTTGCTGCTCAAAGGAGCTTTCATCTTTAGTTCCATCAATCAAAACTCATTCTTGCTTGACTTGACATTAAAGTCTCATTCTTCGACTGTATCTGTCTCTTTATGCTCCAAAAACGTTTATTTGTCTAGCTTATTTCCACGCACTTTAACCCTTTGGAACTCTGCCCCATCTTTATGTTTTCCTGACTCATACAACCTTTAACTTTTTAAATCTTCTGTCAACCTTTTCATTGCTCTATAACTCTACTCTTTTTTTTCTAGCAACTCCTAACTTGATAGTGGTTGCTTGAAACCTTATTGGGAGTGAAAAATAATTAAAAATATATAGATAACAATGCTTAAATAGGTTACTTTTAAAGCTTTTGCCTGTAAACAAATTCAAAATAAAAATTTATCCTAAAAATTCTAAGTAATGCACAAAGTTTAAATTTATCATTTAATTATTATAATAATGCACAAAAAAATAATGCACATTTTGCATATTTGCAAATTGCATATTATAATAATGCACAAAAAAATAATGCAAGATAAAAATATCAAAATGCCATCAGTTGGAAAATCGGTAAAAAATGCTGATGCCGATACCGATTGTGCAAAAAATGGCCGATTTAGCCGATGTCAATACTGATTAATCAGTACATCACTAATATATAAATATATATATATATATATTATATATATATATATATATATATATATATATATATATATATTTATATATATATATAAATATATATAGGCCCAGCAGAAGGCCCAGAAGAAGGTGATGTGCGTAGCAATTAACTTGCTTTGTTTATATTACCAAAGAATTATAGTTTTAAATAATATATTTAAGAAATAAATTATTTAAAACTATAACATAACCATCAGGTCACAAAGAATCGCTGTTAAAGGAATTATAGGTTGTTTAAACTCAAGTTAAAAATTTTTTTTGCGTTTACGCTCTCTCATTAAACTCAGCATATAAATAATTAAAAACGATCAGTCTAAAACCTCAACTAACCAAATGTTATCCAGAATATTAACACTTTTTTAAAAACCATGTTGCAAACCGTTGTAATAAATTAGGACATGATGTAATTGATGTACATACAGTAAGCTCTTTAAAAGTATTTTTATGATGCTATTTTGACTGTAGCTACATCAACCGTCAGCATATGAAAGCCTGTTGTTGCTTTCCTTCATCAATATTAAACTTTTTATGTATAAATTTCATTGGTTGTTGTAATTAATAAATAGATATAAATCTAATATTTTTAAATTTTCTGTTGCGGTAGATGGAAGATCTATATTTTCAAGCTTTTGGATACTAGACGTTTATCTATAAAACTAATTGCAAAACAACGGCGGAAAAATAATGCTGCTCTAAAGCTGTTGCTCTACTTTCAAACAAAACATTGACCCATGATGAGGAGATGACTTTTCATTGCATCTTAATAGTTTAAAGTAGTCTTTATTTTTCATTTCGGAAATACTTCAGACTTTCTCAACCAAATATACCCAAAGGCTTAATAGCCTATTTTCCAATCTAAATGCATTCTGATTCAAATTTTTAACACAACGTCAGTACTTGCCGCAGAAGATGAACAACCTTTAGGTAAACTAAAATTGATTTAAAAAATGATTGTAGGGCTACTATAAAATGAACTATTTTAGAATTGGATACCACTCTGTTGTAAGATGATATAATAATAACAATAATAAAAATTTTTGCTAGAAAAAAAGCAAAAAAAAGATATTTATCTCAAAGATTCTCTGTTATTTAGTAATAGTAATATATATTTCTGCATAAATAATATTTCACAGAGTATTTATAAATGTAAATTTATAGAAACT